TATCAAAGTTTACATTTTGTATAACATTTGACTGGCACCACTATCAAATCTAAGGAAAAAAATATGTTTTGAGATTTTTTAATGTATTTCATCAGTATTTTTCGTTTTTAATTTTACAAAAAAATTTACATAATTAAATTCAGTTCAAGAAGATAGATTTCCTATATGAGCCCGAAATATATCTACATATATATCTTAATAACATTTCAATTTAACTTTTAAAGCTCAATGTAACAAAATATTTTAATATACTCAATAAACAAATATCTTTTGATAATTTATTCGGAAGTCAAAGTTTAATTAACATTTGCGGGAAACTCTAACCAAAATATATATGTACATACATATATACAAAACAATAATTTGCGACAAAACACCCACTCTTTCGTAAAAACAAAACTATAATAAATCTCTTTAAACAAAAATTAGAAACACACGTAAAAGTTACTAAAAAATCTGATATCACAAATAATCCACTGATTGCGCAGTTTATTTTTGCGGGTTGCTTAGTGGTAGTTCGTTATTTTGCTTGTCATCTATTAAGTAGCTCATCAACTTTCAGTGCTGCCAAAGTAAATCCTGAGATCATGAGCGTCAAGCACAGATAACGAGATGCCCAACTTGTCTGTCACTGGAAATGAGAGAGCAATTGCTAAACGTCAAAACCTCCTAAACTCAGTCAACTGTCAAAGTTCAGGAGGACTGGTGAAATTGGAAAAGAGGTGAACATTTTTAAATTTTTTCTCTCCATTTGTAACGGCCGTTATTACAAAGAAAAACAAAAGAAAATCAGCTGTTTGATATGTCGCTTTCGTCTTCAAAATGTTCAAGAAGCTGGCTTCAAGACACAGTTTGCAGACAAGACAACTTCGCTATCGTGCAGTCGTCTTTGTGTTCATTCAATTTCTATGAAACACATGATACATTAAATCAGGAGGAATAGTCAGTCAGGTCGTTATTAAAACAACTCACTCAATAACATCAGTCACGAATTGTCGAACGAAAGCACCAGGTACATATGTATGTATGTATGGCAATGATAATGGACTTACCAATTCTATTACCAATTCTAACTAAATTCGGTAAACGTTGGAATTTCCCTTCTCAACATATAACCACATATATTAGCGAGGCTTGTCAACAGAAGACTCATAAGCCATAGCGAAGAAGTCCTCCCTGAATATCAATGCGGATTTAGACCCGGAAGGTCAACAGTTGACCACCTTTTTTCACTTAAACAGTATATGGAGAAATGTTATGAGCACAGTATTGATTTGCCAACTCTATTTATTGATTTCAAGCAAGCATTCGATAGCAGAAAAACTTATTAGAAATTTAATGATGTCTTTACGCATAACCGTATCAAAAGTAATGATACAAGGCAGTAAATCTGAACCGTTCAAAATTAAGTTTTAAGTCGCGTCCCAAATAAAACTGTTCAAATCAAAGCTACTCAATAGCAATGTAAACTGGCCCTATACAAAACCAACATTTTACCAATATTGTGCTACGGAGCGAAATCACGGACCCTACTCAAAAAGGACAAAAACAAATTGCAGCTTATAAAAGGTTAAAATGTTATACGCTTTATCAAAGCGCAGCGACTAAGATGGCTCGCCCATATAACGAGAATGGACAACAAGAGAGCACAGAAGAAAAAAAGGCCACAGCAATCAGCACTAAAGCAAGGGGAAGGCCGCGATCAAGATGGATTGACGAACTCGAAGAAGACTTGAAGAAGCTTGGCATACAAAATTAAAAAGAAAACGAAAATGACTTATTTATTTTATTATATGTATTTAAATTATATATCTTACACATTGACCGATATTTGTTGATGTAAAAAGTCAACTATAGGCAATGGGGTCCACATATTCAGTACCTAGGGGCTTGAACAGTTTTGGTTCGATTTAGACAATTTTTGGTCACAAGGTGGCATACTTTTAACGTATTATTCACGAAAAGTTTTAACCCGATCATCATTGTTGCTTGATTTGCATAGTGAAAATTGAAAGAATCAGATGGAATTTGAAATGGTGTTATATGGGAAATAGGCGGGAATCTGAATTCGCCCATTTTCGCACTACAACATATAAGCAACTTTTTGCTACAGAGTATAATAGTTTTGTTCACCTAACGGTTGTTTGTATTACCTAAAACTAATCGAGTTAGATATAGGGTTATGTATATATAAATGATCAGAATGAAGAGATGAGTTGAAATCCGGGTGATTGTCTGTCATTTATTAGGGTTCAAACTCCACTGGGGTACTCCACGTTGAAATCGAGCTGCTTGAAATTACTTAAAATCTCAATCGGCTGTTCACTAACTAGCATTGCTGCTGTCTGTCACCTAAAAATTTGGATCTGATTAAGTGCGCAGTTAATCGGGATTAACGCTGCAGTTTGTTAAGGCTATAAGTATGCTTCCGGTTAAGGAATATAACGAGCTCCTCTCCAAGCAGTTTCTGCTGGGATGTTTTCCTAGAAATCACAAGGGGTCCTTCCTGATTACGTCGACAACATTGGAAAGTACGCCGACCAAACTTCGGACGCAACGAACTTTAGTCAAGTACTGACCGCCATTCACAATGGAGCCATCAACACTTTCACCGACTCCTTTTCAGTGAATGGCGTACTAGGTGTCAAACCACCACCCATAGCAGCTCGAGTTGCCTCGCGAATCCAGAGTGACCCTCGCGCAACTTTATTCTGGATATTGTAGCAAGTTAAACTCCTTCCTATCCAGAATACACCCCAACATACCAAATATGTGTGCAATGAGTCTCCGCATGAATCCCACTCATCTAATACCCATTTCCCTATGGTCCGACCTCGTCGAAAAAGCTCGTTTCCTGGGCCTCCCGTTAGATAACTTCGACAACAACCAAACTACAACTTATCACCCAAGCGGGGACTAGGTAACCGTTACAAAAACAATAACAACAAGGCTATAAGCTAATGGGACCTTTTGTTGAGTGTGAAAACCTGCTTGCGTTGTTGTTTCTACATTTGGTTTATTGCAGTTTAACCAGAGAACTTAAAACAATTGTTCTAAGTTCTCTGGTTTAACTATGTAATTATTAATAAGTGCAAATTCGTCTAAACACAAATGAAACTGAGTTGTCAACATCTCTTTTTTAGAGTAGTGACTTTATTATGCGTTGAAATAACAACTGGTAAAGTTAAAATTGTTAAATCAATTACAAAATTATTTATTTTTTAATATTATATCGGAATAATTTCTCTGAGTTTGCTTGATATAGTGAGAACAGTTTGAGACATATAAACTTATTTAAGGGCCCTCTCTGTAGTTTTATTTGAAATTACATTATAGCACTCAATATTTTTATACCCTGAACGTTTGCCACGAAGTTTGTAACACCCAGAAGGAAACGTCGGAGACTCTATAAAAAATATATATAAATGATCAGCATGATGAGCTGAGTTGATTTAGCCATATCCGTGTCTGTCCGTCTTTCCGTCTGTCTGTATATATACAAACTAGTCCCTCAGTTTTCAAGCTATCGATCTGAAATTTTGCACCTGTCCTTTTCTCACAAAGAAGCTGTTCATTTGTCGAAACGACCGATTTTGGACCACTATAGCATATAGCTGCCATACAAACTGAACAATCGGAATCAAGTGTTTGTATGGAAAACTCTTTCATTCACAAACTGAACAATCGGAATCTAGTGCTTGTATGGGAAACTCTTTCATTTGACGAGGTATCTTCACGAAATTTGGCACGGATTATTACTTAAGGCAACAATTTAATCTCCGAAGAAATTATTCAGATCGGGTGACTATAGCATATAGCTGCCATACAAACAGAACAATCGGAATCAAGTGCTTCTATGGAAAACTCTTTCATTTGACGAGGTATCTTCACGAAATTTGGCACGGATTATAACTTAAGGCAGCAACTTAATCTCCGAAGAAATTATTTAGATCGGGTGAGTATAGCATATAGCTGCCATACAAACTGAACAATCAGAATGAAGTGCTTGTATGGAAAACTCTTTCATTTGACGATGTATCTTCACGAAATTTGGCATGTATTATTATTTAAGGCATTAATCAAATCTTCAAAGAAATTGTATAGATCGGATAACTATAGCATATAGCTGCCATACAAACTGAACAATACAAATCAAGTGCTTGTATGGAAAACTCTTTTATTTGACGAGGAATATTCACGAAATTTGGCATGGATTATTATTTAAGGCAATAATCTAATCTTCGAACAAATTATTTAGGTCGGGTGACTATAGCATATAGCTGCCATACAAACTGAACAATCGGAATCAAGTGCTTGTATAGAAAACTCTTTCATTTGACGAGGTATCTTCACGAAATTGGGCATGTATTATTATTTAAGGCATTAATCCAATCTTCAAAGAAATTGTATAGATTGGATAACTATAGCATATAGCTGCCATACAAACTGAACAATACGAATCAAGTGCTTGTATGGAAAACTCTTTCATTTGACGAGGAATCTTCACGAAATTTGGCATCGATTATTATTTAAGGCAATAATCTAATCGCCGAAGAAATTGTATAGATCGGATGACTATGACATATAGCTGCCATATTAACTGAACTATCGGAGTAAAGTGCTTGCATGGAAATTTTTTTTATTTGACGAGGTATCTTCTTACGGCAACAAATTATTATCCGCAAATGGTCAGATCAGATCATTATATCATAAAACTGCCATACAAATTGATCGTTCGGAATCAAGTTCATGGGCCTTTGTATTTGTGAAGGGTATTATAGCTTCGGTGCAACCGAAGTTAACGTTTTTTCTTGTTTCCATTAACTTCGTTCAATGAGTTTAACTAGATAATATAAAACACCTAATTAAACCTAGAATTTTTATTCCTCAACAAAATACTTTGATACGATTGAGCTTTCATCGTCGGGATTTATAAATTGTGTAATCTTATATATATATGTACATGTGTAACAAAGATATAACTATGCACTATTACTTACTGATACACAGGCAGCATTATTGGTAAAGGATGAGCAAGATGCGGAGCTGATTCTAGCATAGATGCCCGTTCTTGAAGAGCTTCTTTTACCATTCTATACTGTTCAAAGTCAAGCTAAAAATAAAAAATTAAGAAAATAATTTTAGTCGCAATATCTATTTTATGTTAGGCGTGTATTAGCACGTTAAGCTATTAGCTTATTTTGTATTCAAGACTTAATGCCGTTTTCCCAATACGTTGTTAGCGCTTAACCAGAACTTTATCCGCAACATGTTGAAAAGTGGTTTTCTCAATATCTAGCAACCATCTGTCAGTTAAGCTCTGGTAAATTTTACCGAAAGAAGGAGACTTGGTTAGTTGCTAACCAGAACATGAAATCACAGCTGTCAGCTGTAAAATCTGTCAGAAAAATCAGCTGCATAGACGGCGTTTAGACGGGGACTCTTTTGTCGCTGATTATCATTATCAGTTTCAAAATAATATGAAATGCCGAATTGAGCAGCAGCGAGCAGTTAGGAAAAAGAACATAAATCGAGCTGCACGATATCTTCGTCGCTCCCTAGCCTACGAAAACAGGTTTGGACGGCAAAAAAAGTCCTCGTATGAACATTAACATACATGGCTCATGACGTTTACACAGTTTTGGCTGTTCACGATGCTAATTTTGTTAACTGTTTTCCCCACGCATTCACAATAATCAAACTGTTTGTAGTTAAGCTAACCACAACTTGGTGAAAACGCTTCTGTCAATGATGATAATGTAAACAAACGAAAGTTACAGATGTTCGTGGATGCGTATTAAAATTAGGTAGGTGCGTTTTATAACGATCAAATCAAACACGCCTATTATATTGTAATACTATACTTTTAAAGCTTGAATGATATATAAATTTAGATACATATAAGTATATGTTCTTGTTATTTACTAATTCTTCCTTATTGTATAGGTTTTATTCAGATTTTATTATAACAACGATTAAAAATTGTTAAATTTAAAAATTAGTGTTGATTTACTAAAACGCCTTTACAGCGAACTTCAAGAACGGAATAAAAATAGGAGTTTTCCATTGTAAGAGAAAAATTAAAACGATGAAGCGCTGACTAGTTTGTACGGTTACACAGAGGGGGACCTATTTTGTCAAATATTGTCCTAACTATAACAAACATGTATGTATGAGTTTATGCATAGATACTATAGTATTAAACCAAACTAGTAAGCCACAGAAAGAAACGTTGGAGACTCTATAATAATATAAAATATGGTATAATATAGATAAAAGATCAGCATGATAAGCTAAGACGATTTAGTCATGTTTGTCTGTGTGTATATACGCGAACTAGTGCCTCAGTTTTAAAGATATCGATTTGAAATTTTTCACACGTCCTTTTCTCTCACCACCGATATCATATATGTACTTATATAGCATATAGCTGCCATACAAACTGACGGATAAAAATCAAGTTCTTGTATGGAATCATTTGAAGATGTAAACATTCAATCGATTTACGTGTTCACGTTCAAGAACAACAATAACTGAGGTCATAAATATTTCCACTATTTAATTAAGAATATCTCAATGGTTGTTTTTGTACATACTCGTACATATGCCAAATGGTAATTTGTACAGTTGGTATTATTGATGGCAATGGGCCATCATAAGTCCAAAAATGCCAAATAGAATTATTTTAAAATATTGCTCACAGTTTGAGTCTGATACATAGGTATCTATCGATAGTATGTTGATATGGAACCTTTTATAGCTCGTAATAATATTTCAAGACTAATGCATGAATAAATACGAGTATACAAGGTGCGTTTCAAAGTAAACAGGACTTTAAAAAAAAGACAGAACAAATGGTTTTATCGGCAAAATCAGTTAATTTTATTCAAGATAGTCTCCTTCTGCTTTAATGCAGCTTTTTGCATGGTCCAAAAGCATGTCGAACGAGTGTTTTAGCACGTTGCCCGGTATGGCCGCCAGTATGCCGGTGCAAGCCTTTTGAATGGGCTCCACGTCTGCATAACGTTTTCCTTTCATCGGCAAATACATTTTTAAGAAAAGGTACAAGTCGCACGGTGCCATATCAGGTGAATACGGGGAGTGGTTGATTGTTAAAATGTGATTTTTGGTCAAATAATCGGCCACAAGCGTCGATCGATGAGACGGCGCATTATCGTGCAACAAACGCCAACACGTCGAATACGGCGCACCAAACGCTTCAAAACTCCAAGGTAGAATACCGCATTAACGTTTTGGCCGGGTGGAACAAATTCTTTGTAGACAATACCCTTGGAATCATAAAAACAAATCAGCATTGTCAGCACTTTTGACTTCTCCAGGCGCGATTTTTTGAGTTTCGGCTCATCGTCATTTATGTCCTCACGACCACTTTAAAAACGTTGAAACCACTCGTGTACTCTGCTTCCGGATAGGCAATCATCGCCATAAACTTATTTCATCAATTGAAACGTTTCGGTAAAAGTTTTACCAATTTTAAAACAAAATTTAATGTTGGCTCTTTGTTTGAAGCTCATTTTCGCACCGGTGACAAAAACTTACTGACACTTAAAATGCAATAACTTCACTTCCAATAGATGAAATGTCATGAAATTTTTACTGGAAGTCGATAAGGATAGCAGATTCTAACGCACTAGTCGACATATAGATGGCGCCACTAGAGTTTACTTTGTTACTTTTATACTGTATACTTTGGAACGCACCTTGTATTACATGTAATTTTATGGATTCTTACCCCAAGTATAGCCTTCTGTAAGTAACGAACACCTCCATGAATGAGTTTTGTAGAACGAGAAGATGTTCCGCTTGCAAAATCGTCCGCTTCAACAAGAGCCGTTTTTAACCCTCTAGTAACTGCATCCAATGCACAGCCAGCCCCTGTTGCTCCTCCTCCTATTATTAAGACATCGTATTCCTCTCCACTCTGAAGACTTTTCATTTGATCTGGTCGTGGAGGTAAAGTACGCTTTCTCTTTGGTGGTCGTACAATTTCATTATGAACCTTAATAAGAAAAAATCTCATAAATTTGAAGTAGTATTTACCTTTTAGTTAACGTTTCTTACCACATAAGGAGAATTATTTCTGTCTGTGCAAACCCAAGTGGCAGCAAGTGAACCGATGCATGCACTCATGGCAGTCACTCCGAATTTATAAAAGCGTGATGTCATGATTTCTGCAAGTTGTGAAGATTGAAAAATACTAGAACTATGAATTAACTACAGTTAAGAAAATTAATGTAATGACTAAAGGATTTTATTATACATTGTACATTTATTGATAAAGCTACAGACAAAGTAAACTAAGCGTAAACTATTTTGTATATTCATTGGGCTTTTGTAGTGTTGTCAAGCAATACTAATCATGCGCATCTCAAAAGCAGCGATACACAATATGCTTGAATTTAATATTTTGTTTCTAAAGTTTGCAGACAGATGTCCCTATCGGAACAGAATTAAGTTTTTAACCTCTTGGCTGTAATATAAATGTATGTATGTAAATTATGCTTAATATATTTGTATTAAAGGAATTTTGTGTATATAAACTACATATCACTTTTATGTAGAAATATATTAAATACAATTGATTAACTTGGTAAGGATATAATGCACATTTTTACCTATAATGAAAAATATAGTTGTATATGATAAACTATGTACATATGTATGTATGTATATTTTATAACAAATGTGCATCCCAGCAATCTTTTATTATATGTACAATAAATAGACATAATGAACCCATGATAATGATTGTTAGTTTCATTTAAATGTTTCATTATTCCCACACTACTAAAATTTAAGTGTTTATTAATAATCTTATTAAAATTCCTTTTAACTCCGTTAAATTGATTATTTTTCAACATATTTCAGGTCACGATGCTCCAATAAGCGGAAATTTTTATTAAAAACATTTCTGTCTCTATGCAAATTTTTTTTTTACATTTTTAAATAAAACGACGAAAATGCTTGACTATCGGAAACTTTAATTTATTATGGAAAATTTTATATCAATTAAGTTGTGTTTAATCAGTGGATTACGTTTTTTAATACTTATGTATATGTATGTATGTACATAAGTATAACGTACCACAACCACAACCATATACATATACACACTTAAATTTAAGTTGTATACATTGTACTGGGTCTTTTTTTGTTTATTGAAGAAGATATTTTTAATTTAAATAGAACCTTAAACTTTTTAATAAACATATGTAATTGTGTGTGGCAACAACTAACAAAAAGTGTTTCGTCATTATCATCGTTCGTACATCTGCAATCTGAAACTATCAAACTCGTGTATACCTGCATTTTTATACTCTCGCAACTTGTTGCTACAGAGTATAATAGTTTTGTTCACCTAACGGTTGTTTGTATCACCTAAAACTAATCGAGTTAGATATAGGGTTATATATATATAAATGATCAGGATGAAGAGACGAGTTGAAATCCGGGTGACTGTCTGTCCGTCCGTCCGTCTGTCCGTCCGTCTGTCCGTCCGTCCGTGCAAGCTCTAACTTGAGTAAAAATTGAGATATCTTTATGAAACTTGGTAGACATGTTTCATGGTACTGTGAGACGGTTGGTATTGCAGATGGGCGTAATCGGACCACTGCCACGCCCACAAAACGCCATTAATCAAAAACAAATAACTTGCCATAACTAAGCTCCGCAATAAGATACAAGACTGTTATTTGGTACACAGGATCACATTAGGGAGGGGCATCTGCAGTTAAAATTTTTTTTTAAAAAGTGGGCGTGGTCCCGCCTCTAATAGGTTTAACGTGCATATCTCCTAAACCGCTAACGCTATAATAACAAAATTCACTGGAAGCAAATGTTTTTAGCACTTATATTGACGGTGTGAAAATAATTGAAATCGGGTGGCAACTCCACCCACTCCCCATATAACGGTACTGTTAAAAACTACTAAAAGCGCGATAAATCAAGCACTAAACACGCCAGAGACATTAAATTTTATCTCTGAGATGGTATAAGATGACTTTATAGGAACCGTGTTCAAAATTAGACAGTGGGCGTGGCACAGCCCACTTTTAGGTGAAAACCCATATCTTGAGATCTGCTTAACCGATTTCAACCAAATTCGGTGCGTAACGTTCTTTTCATGTTTCTATGTCATAGTGCGAAAATGGGCGAAATCGGACTACAACCACGCTTACTTCCCATGTAACACCATTTTCAATTCCATCTGATTCTTTCACTTTCCACTATGCAAATCAGGTAACAATGATTATATCGGGGTAAAACTTTGCGTGAATAATGCAATTATCAGTATGCCACCTTGCGGCCAAAAATTGTCTAAATCGAACCAAAACTGTTCATACCCCTAAGTACTAAATATGTGGACCCCAGTGCCTATAGTTGACCTTCTACCGAAAATATCAGTCAATCCACAAAGAAATCTCAAACGAGTATACCATTTGACTTTGCGAGAGTATAAAATGTTCGGTTATATCCGAACTTAGCCCTTCCTTACTTGTTAATATATTATTTAGTACCACGATTTATTTTTACGTCTTTGTGTTTTTATACAACATGAACTATATAAAAATTACACAATATTTTAATTTGACTTCAATTTCATTTTAAAACACGAAAAAAATAATAAGTTTATGTTAAACTAAACAGTAAATTTCCATTGTCAAGTGAGCTGACCTACCACAATTTTATTGTTCTATAATATAATACAAGTATATGCGTATGCCGGTGCATATGTACATATGTATGTTATACTGAGTCAAGAGAGCTTTGTATAGAATTTAAGTTCATATAATTTCAGGTCAAGCACAGCTAATACCGGGAAGATTGCGCTTCTCTTATGTGTATTTGTATGTACATACATATGTACATAAATACTTTTACAGTGTAAAATTTACACGTATTCTTATGCATTACGCTTTAAAGTTTTAGAACTTTTGATGTTTAGACACATCCCAGTAGACATGAAGAAATTATAGCGCAATGAAAAGGACGTAGGTGCGCATACTCGTTGTACTTATATACATATGCTATATATAGTATATGTATATTAACAGTAGGGAGTGAATCAATACACCAGATCTTATATATTTTTTTAAACTTGTTTTTAAGTTTACATGTGTATATACATACGTACTTTCCAGCTGAAATGCAACCGCTTTTTGTTCAAATTTAATAGAAATAATTATCTTTTGAATGACTTAATATATTATTGTTATTACACGCATTAAACAAACAATGACCATGTGATACAAGTTTTAAGTATTTCACTAAATTTTCAAATATACAAACGACTTTATGCAATAATATATTTCGACTGACAAAAACTCTTTTGGTTCCTTCCTTTGTATAAGAACCAGTTTTTTGGCGCGAGATCAATTTATTTTAATATCATATTAATCATATTTATGTATGTATGCGAACCAAAACCACTCTTGTAGAGTAAAGCTTAGTCAAAAATTCTCATCGGTAAATACATATTTATGTCATATCATTTGTATTTCTCAGAGAGTATTGTGTATTAAATAGAAACACTCAGAACTCGCGGCAATCACTTCACGCATTTAATAAATGTACAATTCACACCGACATACATACATACATATGTAGGCGTATAGATATTCTCACACGGTATGCTTGTAGTATAAAATCTATGCGTAAAAATGTGGGTATGTCAGTAGCGTATGCATTTATGTACATATATACATATATTTTTACGTACATTCTGTTCACATGGAACTGTCATGACAATTGTTAACGGCTATTTTTGACCTCTAATACGACATATCTAACATACTTTGGTATGTGCAAAGAGTTGACTAAAAACAAAATATATTACACCATTTATCGGAAATCGCCAACCTCACATTATTACATAAAACCGCGAAGTAAATTTTGGTAGAATATGGATAGCAACAATTACATCAGAGCAATACACTTACTGCCAAATACATATATTATAAGAAATATTTCCGTTGTAAACACTCACTTTTAACTATTTTCGTGTAAATATATGTGTGTATATAATGCACTATAAGGCTTATATTTATCTTAAAGTAAGTATTATTTGCCTTTGTAAGAAGGAAACACAATTTTGAAGACTGCAAGCTGTTGCAATTTGTGCACCTTCTCACTCACCAGAGGTTGTGCAACTAAAATTTACAGAAACTAATTTACCAACAGTTGCTAATATAGCTGTTGTTAGATTAGAGCAAAAGGTTGATATCGAAAGGTTTCAGTTGATTACAGAAGAGTGCTAATCAAGTAACATTTAACATCATTATCGAAGACCTATTAAAAACTTTAAATTGCTTTCATACACATTTATAAAAGCTTTTAGATACCTACATATGTATGTTAAATAACATTCATTAAAAGCTTTGTAATCAACAATTGATCGAACTACTTTTCTAACTTTTGACGATTGATGTAAGTATGGTTGTACAAAAAAAATGTTTCGTTAATAAAATTGTTGGAAATATTCTATAGTAAATATGGAAAAATTCTTATTTTATTCAGAGCACAATAATTATTGCAATATTTTTGTTAAAAAAGACATACCTACATTCAGTATATTCATTTTTTAAATAAATTAATAGCCCGGAACTGCGTGATTGTTTTTCTTTTGCCAAGTCTTACGCTATTGGAAGCTGTTTGGAGAGAGGAATTTAAGTGTCTCAGTTACTGAAAGTCTTTTAGAAAGAACAGTTCCAAGTGAATCTGTGCAAGCGCTTGAACTTTTCATATTGGTTTCACAGAAACTCTTTACGAAGATTTTTAGAGAAGACATACAAAGAAAAATCTTAATTAATTAAATTGTTCAATGTGCTCTTTTTTATGATTACTGCAAACTCTTTTATTTTGACCAACTATCAGCTTGATAGTTATAGAATTTAACTTTCCAGTTATGATTAGGGTTCTGCACACTTTTTTGCGCTTACAAACATCAGGTGATCCCAACTCTAATGCTTCTCCGAAAATATGCGAACATTTTTTCGGACGGTTTTAAGGTTTACATAAAAATCATTTACGGTCTACAAATGCCCTGTTTTACCAAACGCAAATCTCCGTTTGCATTTCAAAAGTAATTCCCATGACCTCAAAAAAATTAAATCGCCAAAATCTCAGAAATCGGAACAGTCTATCAATGGAAGTAAGTGGGAGGGTGAAACATCTATGCCAAAGTTACTTTCTCAAAATTAACGCGGTGATTTAATACGCAATCAAGTTAGGAATGACAAAGCAATTTGTCAAGCCTTTAACTGTTAATTATGATATTCATGATATATGAAGTATGTATCGTTTTTTTGCTGCTGTTCACATTGTGACCATCAATTGTTATGTGTTTATACTTATAATTCATTCATCTTAATCTAATATCAATATCAGACATTTTTAAAATATTTTAATGAAACTAATTAAGCAAATCCAAGTGCATTTGCTCCAGTCTTTGATATCTCGATATATATTTTTTTTATTATTATTTTTTTTTTTATTGTCATATATCTCCCTTCCGCTTTTTTGCTCTTCATTCAATGCTTTATAAAAAGTGTTACAGTGATCGGATTTAGTTCAAATATGCGCCGTTTTGTTCGATGATCTGTTTCCATCTAGACGGCAACTTCATAATACCTTCCTCGTAGAAGCCCCCCTCCTTATTTGCGAAGAATTCGGACAGCCACTTTTCACAAGCCTCTTTTGAGTTCAACTTCACACCACCAAGGGCATTCGCCATGGACAGGAACAGGTGGTAATCACTTGGCGCTACGTCCGGGCTATATGGTGGATGCGATAAAACCTCCCATCCGAGCTCCCGTAGCTTCTGACGAGTCATCAACGAAGTGTGTGATCTGGCGTTGTCCTGGTGGAACACTACACCCTTCGATCGCCTGCTTCAAGCGGTCCAGTTGTTCGCATTAAGCGTCTGGCCATATGGGAACAGCTCATAGTGGATGATTCCCTTCCAATCCCACCAAACACACAACCTTCCTGGCCGTCAATCCCGGCTTGGCCACTGTTTGGGACGATTCACCGGCCTTCGACCACGACCGTTTTCGCTTGATATTGTCGTATGTGATCCATTTTTCGTCGCCAGTCACCATCCGCTTCAAGAATGGGACGAGTTCGTTCCGTTTCAGCGGTTTTATTGCGTCAAATTATGCGGCACCCAAACATCAAACTTTTTTTTTGTATCCAGCCTTCTGCAGATGGTTCAAAATGGTTTGGTGACTAACTCCCATCTCCTGGGCGATGTCACGAGATGCCATATGCCGGTCTAACTCGATGTATTCCATGATTTAATCGGTATTTGTCGTCACAGGTCTTCCGCCGGCTGGCTTATCCATGGTGTCGTTTTCACCGGCTCTGAATCGTCGAAACCATTCCTCCGCGGTTCGAAGTGATAGAGTACCATCCCCCAAAACACCATTAATCTCACGGAATGTTTCTCTAGCGGATTTGCCTTTAACGAAGGAAAACTTTAAAATAGCGCGAATTTCGGCGTTAGTGAACTCCATGTTTACACGTCTATAACTGTTGAACGCAATATCCAAACTAATCACGCATAGCGTTGTTTTGTAGGTTATGTCAAGACCTTTTAAATTATGTATAGTGTTGCCAGATACGAGCTCTGTAGCGCTTTGTACATAGCCGCGCCGTGTCAAAAGAGAAAAAAGCGGAAGGGAGATATATGACAACCTTATATTTTTTGATATCTCAATTACAAAGGCGTAAAATATGGCATGTGGTTTTTCATATTTTTTAAATTTTACTATAATTAATTTCATTGCACTTTCTTAAAAAAAGTATATTAAAAGTACTTTAAATATGTTATCAGTAATTTCTATAAATTAAAAAATTCGGAAAGTTGTCTGGACTTTTATAAAATTTATAAAAGTTGAAATCGGTTTGTATCATACCACTTTTTAGTTAGTCTTAAAATTAAAATTGGCCCCATATACCTAGTATAAGAATTTCAAATGGTTTGTTTTGTACCGGTCACTATGTGAGATATCTCAACAAAATTAACAACCCGATTTTATATCTAAAATTGCGCCAGCACATCTGCCCTTCGACAATTATTATTATTATTTCCTTATTCGCTAAAACCTTAACTCTAGCTATCCTAAGCAATTGGGTTATTGTAACTCGCGTGAAACCCTCCTTCATAACCGCCTCCAAGTCATTTGCGACAATTATGGCAGGGTTTACTATATTAAACTTTGATAAGGTCATTGCAATCATTTAAGTTTGAATTTCAATAGTTAGAATCCTATTCCGTTAGTCTTGTTTGCGTTAAGTCATCAAAGTCAGAGCTGCCAGCTATTACCTTTAGTGCCGATGCTAAAAAATTTAAGCTCCGAGAATGTCTATGGTGAACTCCTAAAGTCCCTACCAATTGTGGAAAGACATTAATCAATTTTGTGATCTCTTATATGTATTGTCCATATTCGTTAAGTTCGATATATGAACTATAAAAGTCGTCTCGTTCCAAATTATTGCAGTACCGTCTGTTAATTTAGAGTCTGCGAACGCAGCCCAAGTCAAAAATACGTAGACATACAAATGCCTGAAATTTATTTTAAAGAAACTGTATCAAAATAACTGTATTAGTTGTCCTTGTGAACCACCCTCCCCTTAATAAGAACGGTTGTTCCTAAATCAGCGTCAACCTTCTCTTCAGTATGCAATGGGGTGACTTTGTTGCCCAACCTCTTGTTGGATTTTTTTCACACTTCGAAGACCATATTCGAGCGATAAGCGTTGCTCCGATCTATTTGCTCCTGCTGGGCTTTTTCTAGCCTCGCAGCAATATTCGGGAAAATATGTGAACTGGCATGGAGGATCTCAATCGCCTTCTTGCCCATCACAGAGTGGAACGTCATATTATATTTTATTTCTTTTGAAGAAAAAGTTCCACTACGTCTTGTATTTGTCTTTGCAGTTTAAGACATCTGGCGATCTCCACAAGGGTACTGTGGAATCTTTCCACCTTTGCGTTCGATGTATTATGTAGCGGTGGTGCATTCACTATGTCAATGTCATATTGGCTTTTTAAGCAGGGATTCTCCGCTAACAAGTTAAGAGCATCAGTTTCATAGCCGGCTTCGTTTTCAGCTTCTATTTCTGCCGCTGCATCATAAGCAGCTTGATCGTATTGATTTTCGTATTGGGATACATCATTTTTTTCTTGCGTCAAATAATTTACGCTCTGACGTCTGTAATCAGACGTTCTTTGAGATGCTGTCTCCCGCCAGGACACATATAGTTCCTGTGAGCCATCGAACTCTGGGACCGACTTAACTGCATCCAGCCCTTCGTGACATTCAACACCGTCTATAATTTTTATTGGCTCGTAGGCCTTGATTTCGGGGGCTGTCACAGTTGTGGACTGGTTTGTAAGCTGCTCTATTCTGGCTTCGAATTCTTTTCTTTGAATCTGCAGTGCGGCGCTAACGGCCGCATATATAATACCAACTGCTGTTCATTCATATCTTGCCCGCGTTTGATTCGTTAATTTAAGTCGACAGTTACACAGTCATACAGTTACAGTCAATACAAATACTACTAAAGAGTCGATATATGGCGGATATGAAAAGGGGTTTCACTTACATAATTATATAGAGATTTTCTTTCTTCTACGTTGATTGTGATCTTCTTTCTTCCATGTTGGAATGGCAATTTGCGGATTAATAATTCAATATTTTGCTCGTAACGACCGCGGAATTATGTTGGAATATTTATGTGCGTTGTGAGTGGTACCGACGGTATTGTCGTCTACCCACGAACTATTTAAATAATATTCCGTTTATGCGATAGCGACGGTATTGTCGACTACCACGGAATTATGTTATTTTAAGTAAACACAATTTGAGTTCCGTTCAAAAACTGATTTATTAAAATTACATTTCCCTTATTTATAACCTACTATTACTATTGCCGCTACTGCCATTGGCGCTGTTTTCTAAATTTTTGCTGACGCCTAAGCTTGTGTAAGGCATTGCGTTACATCCGCCGGTCACACGGTCAGTGGCTACTGCAATGTGTTGAACTGCGGCTGTCGGTCATACAGTTCATTTGAATCATGCGCGACCAAACTGCATACATTGCAGTTTTGGGCAGCTCAAAAGACTGGCTTAGTTAACTTTTT